TGGACTCTATCATAGGTATCTTTCAGAAATAAACTATTGCTAAGGTCTTCCCACGAATCAGCTGCAAATTTAGCAGTGTTGATCCAGATTTCTCTTCTATCTCGATAATCACCCAATGATAGTAGCAGTAGTTCAATCTGGTAGGCAAGTCCTCTAGTTACATACTTCTCTGAAATCTTGCCAATGCTATTGTGTAAAATGATGATTTGATACGCTTTGATACGAGAGTGTTCCCTCATGGGCTTGGGTAAGAGTTTAATATATGCATAAGTCCATATTTCAGCCATACTACCTGTTGCTCAGCTATGTTGATAGTCTAACACAAATTTTAAGAGACTGGCTTACGTAAGCTTCTATAAGGCAAAGATTCTTACACATCTGGGCCTGGGGCTCTATCTTTAGATGTGTTATTGCTCTGAGGTAAAATGGCTTCCAAATCTGCATATACGTATAGCTTTGATAGGGAGTGCTGTAACTTGAGCATCTCTTGCATATCACTGTTTTCATTGGTTTATGTATCTGCACCTGAAGACCTTGCTTTAGTCTTCATCTGTATGAGTTGGGGTACTTTCATGATTGTGCCAGCCATAGGTTTCTATAAGTGCCAGAATGAAGCCCAGTGAGACTGACCTCGCTGCATAGTTCGCTCCATTTCATGTCTTGTGTCGCCTCTAGAGAGCATAGGCTCATTTCCTTGCCATTCTTGTCTTCTCTGCACGGCTTGGGTCATGCTTATTCATGAACTCAACCTAGGCTTTCCATTTCCAGGTTTTATCGGTATCATTGTTGCAGCAGTATAAGATGTTCCTTTCTCCAGAAGTTGTTTCCCACATTTCGCCCCCTGCCTTTAGAATGTGTTTCGTTTGGCAGTGTTTTTGTTTTCTTTGTCTCCATTACACACACAGAGAATAAAAACTTAAATAACAACCTATTTACTGAACTCACAACTTAAATAAACAACTTACATGATACTTCATACTTAATAATTTCTTATCAAAACCAAATGAAAAAAATATATCAAAACTAAAATAATTTAAAAGTAGCTTAAAAAATAAATGAAGGCAATTATGTATAACAAACTGACTAGAAACGATTTCTTAAACCAATACACGAGAAACTAAAACTGATAACGTTTAGAATACACTGAATCGCGTAGACGTGTCCATACCCCCAAATTGTGTAAAGAAGGTAACTTATCTTCAGCTTTGTTCAAAACATGACTACAATTCATCATATGTCAACTAATTAATAAGTCAAGCTAAACAAATGTGTATAAAAATTCATCTAAATTTTGAAGTTTGTCAACAATTGATTTTTTCATCCCAATATCGCAGACTAGCCTTGTTGCCATTTTAAAACTACATATCATTAAATCGGTAATGTGATGGTTTGGCAATTTCAACTCTGATGTTGGATGGCCTACTTCATTTTTGAATATGCAGATACCTAAAGTTATTTGTGTATCGGTGATGGGCCTGCTACGTTAACAGATTTGGTAGATGTCATTTAACAGCATGTAGCTAATTTTCAACATTAAACATTGTCGTTCAGCTGTCTACCATATCATCCCAAGGATGTAGACCATCTATGACGTAAATGCTTGCCACATTGAGCAGATAGCGCCCTCTGATGACCATTTCAGCTGATGAAAGAATTGTGTTTTCCGTAATCTCATGGGCATATCCACGCAAGATTGTTGTTCTATGAGAAATAGTAATACTTTTATTGATATTCGAACTCGCAAAAAATCTTTTATAAGAATCCTTTACATAGTTCCGATACAACCATTTATTTTTTTATTAACATTTGAACCGAATCATTGAGTATTATTGTTACAAATATATTTTGAAGAATACTATATCGTGTTTTTGAAAAAAAATCGAAGAAAATTCCTGATGTTATGTTTACCAAAAATTACATGAAAACTTGTCTATTCCTATATGGGCATTTTCTTGCTTTCAATTTGATCTTCTGATATTAATTTCTAATCTAGATCTAGAAAGGTAGCTTTGGAAGGACTCGTCCCCAAACAGGCACAAACCCTCTAACGTTGAAATTAAAAAGGGAAATTCGAAAGGGAAATATTGCTAGTGGCATTTGCTTGAATTTTACATTTCTTCCCTCCCGTAACTCAGATAACATTTGTAATTATGCTCAAGTTAGAGTTTTAATCATCCAGTAGAAACTTTCAGTTTCCGATAAATAAACCACTGTGTTTATAATACTCACCAATCTATAATTAATATGTTTTTGTCTGGAGCCACTCAACTCAATCACATAAGCACACAGAGGAAAGAAGAGGGTTCCTTCCCGGTCATCAGTTATTTATGTACTTATGTGCAGCCCGTTTTGCACACACTAATACATACACTAAATCGCTAGAATTGTCGAAACAGGAAATTCGTGTTTATCGCTTGTTGGTGAAAAGAGGCTATTTATCCGTTAATAGCTATTGATTACTATTTTATGGAAATTTTTCATGTATCCCCCATAGGTAAGAGTGTTCTTTAAACAGGTAGACGATTTTTAATATAAATGCAAACATTCTTCATCATTTTCCTTTGTCACATCTTGCAGTTTATTGAATAAACAGATATAAAGTGTGTTGAGAAAGTGATATGAAAACGATTTTGAATATGCGAATCAGTAAAATCACATGAGAAATACAGCCAATATAAACTCGTTATGTTGCGGTATGTATCAGAACCACATTTTGACATTGCCTGACGTTTCATGGTGCCATTGAAACTTGATCGCTTTTGGGAAGCCTTTTCTGACGCAAAATATTCATACACTCAAATCATACAGATGTATTCTGATTGCAGACTTAGAATTTCCAAGATGTAGAGATATTCCTTGTACTTAATGGCAATGGAAAACAAAGAAGTGTTGATCAACTTGGGGTCCAAGGACCATCCACAGAGAAATCTGCAAGAAGTCGTATCCCATACTTGGTAAGCAAAGTGTAGCGCCTTGCTACAGGTGAGGATCTACAAACACAAAGGTCAGTGGCAAAAGCCGCCCATGTGATCCAAGCAACAATATGCAACATAATCAAGAAGGATATCCGTCTGCAAAAGCGAAAAAGTCATATGTACACAATTTGCTTCCACGACATATCCGTTTAAGCATCACACAATTCAAGCAGTTGAAAAAGGAAACCTGCATTTATACTATTCTATATCAGTGTACTTTGGCGACAGATTTTCTTGTAGGCAGATTTTGTTAAACAGACCGATGTCTGTAGGTTTACTTTCTTCTTAGAATTCTTCTCAAGAAGTCGATAAGCCGTCTTAACGAGCCATCAAAGAACATTGTGCCCGCATCCA